CAGACTGATGTTATCCTTGTGAGAGTGCTCAGACGAAAAGCACACCCAGGAGTACTAGCTCTGTCTGTATTGTAGTGCTACATTAATACAATCTTGAAGGTCTGAATGTATCCTTACCTTCTTTCATTTTTACCCTCCTGAAAATTAGAGAGGGTCTCTTTTGGGATGCTTTTGCCACCCCTCCACCATTGCCTAGGTTATGGTTTTTCCTCTGTTTCCCAAGGTCATTCCCACATACCATTATATCTGATCTCAACCAGGAAGCTATTCCAAAGGGCAAAGGCTGCTACTGAAAAGCAGCATCTCTATGATTCATCCCTGCTCACTTCATAGAAATGGGATTCAGTCTTTGTTTTCTACTGGCTGATTGTATCAATCAGATTAATGATGAAAAAAGAAAAAAGGAGACCAGATACCAAGCCTGTCCAGGGATATAGGTAGAAAACAGCATTTTGTTTTCCTGGAAGCCTACTGGGAGACAATGCAGGATTCAACCCAAAGGTATAATTCATTATAGAATCCTGGCTTTTAAAAAAGCTGCTCTATTTTGTATTAATTGCAGTTTCCACTTGGTCTTCAGAGGCAACTCTATGCAGACCAGATGGCAGTAATCCAGACAAGTGATGATGGGGTCCTATCACTCCAGCTAGGATTACAACTGGTGTAACAGCCATGTTGGAGGGAAATCCCCCTGGTCATGGTCTCCACCTGCTTAACAAGAAGTAAGTGCAAATCCAATTTGCTCACCTGGGGGTTTTTTGGTGGGGGGAGGAATACTGCATTTTCGGTGCACATATAGCAATTCCATCTTACTTGATTTCAGCTTGATCCAATTCCATTCCATCCAACCAAATTGTGTCACAGAAGGCCCATTGGACCATTCAAACCTTATGATTTTGAGTTATGTAATCTGATTTTCTTTCACACTCCAAAAATAGTTGGTTGTTGCTGCGTTCAGGTGATCAAAGGTACAGTAGATTCTGAAAAATAGTCCAAGGTATTCATGTTTGAGAAACGCTAAGCTAATCTTTTGGTATAAAGCTGCCTTATATCGCATCAGATGTTTGGTCTACCTGGGGATATAAGGATTTCAACCAGTGGTGAAATCTAAAATTTGTTACTACTGGTTCTGTGGGCGTGGCTTGGTGGGGGGTAATGTGACTGGGTGGGCGTGGCCAATTTTTTTTACTTTTAAAACCATTTTTTACATGTAAAACCATGTAAAAAAATGCTTTCAAAAGGCTCTGACGATCCCAGCTGAGTTGCCTGATCGTCAGAGGGTTTTTAAAAAACCTTCTGCCGATCAGGCAACTCAGCTGGGATCGTCAGAGCTTGGATTGTCAGAGCCATTTAAAAGAACTTTTTTTCTTTTAAATGGCTCTGACGATCCCAGCTGAGTTGCCTGATTGGCAGGCAACTCAGCTGGGATTGTCAGAGCTTGGATTGTCAGAGCTTGGCTCGTCAGAGGCATTTAAAAGAAAAAAAGCTCTGATGATCGCACGGCTCAGCTGGGCATGGGGGGCGGGGGCAGGGATTTTTGCTACCGGTTCTCCAAACTTGCCTGCCACCATCGCTACCTACTTGCCCGAGCTGGTCTGAACCGGGAGCATTTCACCCCTGATTTCAACCTAAGGCATTCTGCATATGAAGCATGCATTCTGCTTTTGTGCATTTTCCTTCTTTGATACACAAACTTGTCAATAGAAACACATTTCTTGTTAGAGAGCTGTGAGATTCCTTTCTTTTATTTATTATCAGGCACTTTCAAGATGCCAGAGGCCTTGATTCTTCAGAAAGTAGAAATGGAATGTATTCTCATGTTGGACCTCCTTCCCATGTTGAGCTCTGAACTCCACATTGTTAGGAGATTGCCAAATTCATTTTTCTAAGGAACATGTGATATATTCACTGATTTTCTGTTAAGAGGAGTCATGCAGCTCAATTCCCTACTTGTCACTTTGAAAAGTCAGGGGACAAGTCAGGGCTAGAACTATGGTCATAAAAATACAAGCATTGTTAGCAAAGAGAGCAAGAAGAAATAAAACAGCCTTTTGATTCTTGAGCTGGAACTAAGTGAAACCCACTGCCAGCCTCAGGCAAATTTTCATTTTTCATTTTTCACCATGAGCCAAATCTGCTAAGACAAATGGGACATCAAGTATTAATTTAGCACTTTCCTCTAAAATATAAATTGTTCAAATTTACATGCACTCGTTTTGTTTCAGAAAGAAGTTAGTCCCACTGGCTACCTGTAACACTGAGCTAGGAGCGTTCTGTTAAATAGTTTAGCCATTTGAGAAGTAATTGCCAATAGACTGGATATCCTCCTACTAAATCAAAGTACAGTGACATACATACAGTCTTTTGCCCTTTTCAGGTTTGGATTCATTCCGTTTTTGCTTAAAATTTTATGCAGCAAAGGTTATATAAGCATACGCTCTTTATAACAGAATAGATAATAATGTAATTGAGGGAAAATAATGAGCCCTTAGCCATAAAATTAAGTTGAAAAAAGAAAGATCTGCTACGCGTCACTGAGATAGAGATATTATAACCTCAGTGTAAATTGTGTCAACTAGGGTGCTGTGTATATATTGTGTGATAGATATATCACTGGTCCCAAACATTTCTGTCTGTTGCCAAAAGATTGCATAATGAGGGAAACGGAAATAATAGTATTTTACTGCTTTTGTTTTTAAATCATGCTTCTTTTGCTGTTGAAGTGAGGTCAAATGAAAAACCCTCTCCTTCTCATCTTGTATCCATTCTGGCTGTGACAGCATCCTTGAAGGGAAAGCAGACTTTCTGAGCAATCAGTGGTTTGAAAAGAAAATCTTCCAGGCTGGAAATCACAAGATCTTTCATCTTAAAAGATTAATTCTCCCCACATGAGAATTCTCTTCCTTGTGCCTTTTGTAAAGATGTTTTATGCATGAAGCAACATATGTAACAAAATTACCACCCCATTATATATATGAAAGTAAATCAGTCAAAATAACCAGAAGTTTGGTGTCCTTCCAAATGAATGATGAGACAAATGGGCATAGGATATTTCAGATGAGTGAAAAGAATGAGCAAGCCTGTGTGAACAAGTTCTAAATGGGGACTCATATCTCACCTCTGAATAATTATAGGACAAAGGTGGGGTCAGTGGCGGATTAAGGTGCCCTAAGCACTGATAAATCTTGATGCCTCCCTCCTTTGTACATACTGTACAAATCTTCATTGGTTTTTTTCTTCTTTCTCAACTTTGTGGTGCCCCCTTTGGGCCTGGTGCCCTAAGCACACACATGCTTAGTGTGTGCTTAGGGCTTAATGCAGGGGTGGGTTCTACTTACCTTTACCACCGGTTCGCAACTGGAGCGCGTGTGCACATGTGCAGAAGCTTTTGCGCATGCGCAGATCATCCATGATGACGTCCGGGCAAGTGGGCAGAGCTTAATGGTTAATACACTAGTGGGTGGGGTAACTTTTATCTTTGAAGACCAATGTCAATGTGCATGTGAGTAAATAACTTAGATAAAACAGATCAAACTATGGGCAGGGAGAAATGGTAGTGAACAGAGTATATACTTTTGCAGAAGGCTGGAGTGCTTGAATAAGCAGCTTGAATCAGTCAGTAATATCCTAAACTTTTTTGGATTGTATTTGATTATTTGTTACATTCATATGCAATCTTTCTTCTGAAAGCTCAAAGGGGCACACATCAGAGATTCTTCTCACTGTATGCATATAAGAATCATGTGGGAGGGGTGGGACTAAGAGAAAGTCTAGGTATAAATGTGATTGGCCTAAGTATCCAGGGAGCTTTGTGGTGGCAGGAAGACTTGCACTGCACAAGTCTTAACTTTAACCATTGCACATGAATGAATGAATGAATGAATGAATGAATGAATGAATGAATGAATCAAGGCGCTTATTTCAGGGTTCAAAAAAATATAAGACAGGGTCTCATTTTTGGGAAACATTATCTATATCTATATCTATATCATCTATAGCTATCTATATCTATATCTATCTATCTATCTATCTATCTATCTATCTATCTATCTATTTATCTATCTATGCATATAAATTTAACAAATAAAATAAATGAAAATCCTAATAATATAGAACTAATTACTCAAATTAGATGTCTGGATAACCAGCTACCCCATCTCTGTTTGTGTGTGAGTGTGGGTATGTACACCAAATTTATATTTCGCTGATAAAGAAATAAAGGGAGACTAGTATAGATCTATTTCAAACTATTTAGCTTTATATGCCTTTTATTTTATTTCTTTTTAATTCTCAAGATTTTTATTAAATTATTCAATATATATTTTATATGCATCTTAGAAAATCTGCCCTTAGTATTGTATGATTGAAATATAGAATAAAAGTTTAAGAATAATTTATAAAATTATTGCAGGGCAAAATGGAAACCCTTTCAAAACGTAACAGAACTCAGGAGACTCAGGAGACTCTTGTAAACAATCAACAGTATTAGAAAACATCCTTAAGATATACCATAGGCCCATCTCTAATAGGGATGTTCAGATCTGTCAATATTCAATCTGAACTCAGTCTGGCAGGCTTAAATTTGGATATGTGCTCAAGCTTTGAAGATAACAGGACTAAATCTGAACAGATTCAAGACTCAAAATTTTTTTACAGAAATATGCACAAAAATATTTATAGGCTACAACAGGGAAGCATCAAAACACCTGTTATCAAGCTCTTTTGATAGCATTGATTCAGAAAAAGTTAGCTACATAGCTTGAAAGATTTCACAGCAACAGATTTAAATATTTTATTGGACCTCTTTTGAGGCAGTGATAGCAAGAATAAGAAAATCATAGCATAGCTCAGCAGTCACCAAATTGTTCCACTAAACATTCATAGAGAAGTTATGCTGAACCCATGCAGAAAATGATCTACTAAAACTTCCAAAAATGTTTTAAAGTAAGCTATACATATGATATAAATAGATGAATAATTAATCTGTACTATACATAATAATCTAACTTTAATTATACTACATCAGGCTCACTAAAGAAGAAAACTTAGTAATAAAGCAAACAAGGACAAGACAGATTAATAGCAGAAAGAAAACAAGTTTTTTAAAAAAAAAAAAAAGCTTTAAATTTAATTAAAGTGAGAATGAAAAGGATTTGAAAGGGGATAAAAAAGAAGCCCTGAAAGAAAAGAAAACTGGCACATAGACTTGACACAGAGATAAATAAGGACTATACTGCATATCGGACAAGCAGACTGAGAGTTTAAGGAATGATGAAAGTGTTTGGATTTGGGAAAGATGAAGGATCACACAAAACAGAGCAAACCAGATCAAGAAAAATAAACAGCATAAATCTCTGCCTCTCTTATTCTCTGTTTCGCAAAGTGACCCTTCCTAAAAAACAATTGAAGAAGAATGAGACACAAGCCACAAAATAGCACATTCCAAAAACTCTATAGGCAATGCAGAGATTATGAAACTCACTGGGCAACTATCAGACATCTGTCCGTGCTAATAAAATGATCTCCCCCAACAGTTTCCCTAGATCCGTGATGGCGAACCTATGGCACACATACCAGAGGTGGCACACAGCACCCTCTCTGATGGCATGTGAGCCGTCACCCCAGTTCAGCTCCGCTGCGCATGTGCACATGCCTCCTCTGGCCAGCTGGTCTTCAGGTCTCTGCTGCACATGCATGGAGGGCGGGGCACATGCAGAGGCTGCGCATGCATGCGGGAGGGGTGTCAGGAAAGCAGGGGGCAGGTGGGGACGTGCGCATGTGTGGATAGCGGGGCTCATGCACGGGGGCCGCTCACGCATTCGATTTTGGGTGTTCGGGCACACTTTGGGCACTCGCTCCGGAAAAGGTTAGCCATCACTGTCCCAGATGTTGAAATGGAGTGGGGAGATCATCAAGGTGACAACCAAGGGACCTAGAAATCCATCTTTTCCCTCCTCCATCTACTGACTGAAACTGCTCCTTCAGGAAAGAAAATCATTAAAGAATACTGGCCTTTTCCCTTAGCCCTCTGAGACAGCTCACAAGGATACCACGATTAATGGTGCTGAAAGCTGCTGAGAGATCAAACAGGAGAGTTACATAAGCCCTATCCAGAGTGTATTGATTAAACTCCAGAGATTCTGGAGTGTAATCAATGCTGTCTCCATGCTGACCATGAGTCTAAAACCTACTAAAACAGCCGGTAATTTGTTTTCTCCAAGACTCTCTACAGCCATGGGCCAATAATTTTCCCCACAACTTTTCCCTAAATGGAAAGTTGGAAATGAATCAATAATTGTCAGTAATGACTGGGACTTGTTGAGAAGGGGGCAGACCACCACTTCCTTCAGAAAACATGGCAATGTATCTTCTTATCAATGACACAGTCGCCACCTTTCTGATCCATTTTCAACAGAAAATTGATCCATCTATTGTAGTTGCTTATTATTTTCCAAAAGGTATGTTTCTATGGTTTCAGGCAGGAGTCTTACTAGATCTTTCTGGAAATGGCCTGAATTGAAGGGCCATTGACATACTGTAGAAACTCTTATGGCCAAAACCCTGGTTCTTCCTCTCTGATCCTTCCTCTTTGGAAGTTCAAAGCCCTTGAGAGATCTGTTCTCCATCAGCAATTTTACAAAAGTCACAAACAATATAAAAGGGGTAATTCTTACATCATTTTTCAAATTTTACTGACCTTTCATTTGCTTGATCACCTGCCCTTCCTTCACACTGATGTCAACTGACAGCTTCCATGCGGAGTCTGGCACAAGGTGTAGATGGAGCAGGAGTCTTCTCTGTTGGATTAGTGGTTGACTACGGTCCCAGCTGACTATAGTCTTCCTTCATTACAGTAAGGATATGACTACAATGTTTTGACATTTTTAAGCAATATTGCTGCTTTTCCTGGACCTGCTTCTTAATCTGTGGGAGATAAATGAACAGAATTAGAAAAATCATCAGTGCTCATGAAGATGTAATTACCAGCAATACATCAGATGATCCTCTATTGTGCATTTATAAAGGAACTGAGAAGGAGTTATGAAATCCTCGTAGTTAATCCATTCTCTAAAAATGGCAAAAGAAAAATCAAGAAAGTGTAATCATAGTGTTGGCCTCTATCTATTAGGAGGAAAATGCTGGGGAAATGATTATATAAATGACTGGTTTTTAAAAAATAAATAAATAAAAGCTCTTACAGAATAGATCCACTAACAGATGGGTATCAAGTTCGTTGCATCACGTTGCTGTCACATGAAGTTTGTGACATTTTACCCATTCAGGAGCTGGCATAGGCGTGGCCTGTGCATGATGCATCTGGCCCATGGGCTGCCTGTTTCACACCCCTGCGACTAATACAATCTTCCCCAACCATCAAAAGTGCCAGAACTACAGTACCCAGATTTCTCAGTCACTGTCCACGATAGCTGGGGATTCTGGACAATGTTGCCCAAACATAGCAGCAGGCTGTCAGACTCAGGAAGGCTTCTCTGGTTATTGTAACAGACTGTTTCACATAAGTGGGTATTGATATACTTAAAAAAAATAATAATAATGGCTACAAGGAAGCTGCTAATGACAAATGCAAAGCTGAAATGCCTAATTCCATTTACTAATGTTTAAGTAAGGGCTTAAATGAGATATTACCAGGAACATGGAGCTGCAGCTTTTATGTGCACTGCACGTAACATTATGTTATCTGGGAAATAGTTTAAAGAAGCACAGAATGGCAGTATTTTTTTAAGTTTCAGAAAGCTTTACTTCTCAAAGTCAGAACCAGCGACTGCTTCTCTCGTGTGATCCTGTCCCATTGGGACAGTGTTTCTTAACCTCAGAAATTGTAAGCTAAGTGGACTTCAGCTCTCAAAATTCCCCAGCCGCCTGGGGAATTCTAGGAGTTCACCCAGCTTAAAGTTGCTGAAGCTGAAAAACATTGCATTAAGCACATCTTCAACTGAATTTCTGTTCTGGGCTTTCTCAGCTCTGGAGCTGAAATTGCTGTCTTTGCTGTAGAAGTACCATGTTTTATAGATTTCTCTTACCAAGCCTTATACCTTATCAGCACCAGATGGCAACGGCTTTTCTGGCCCAACCTTGTAAACACATCCAGGACTCAAGTCATTTATGGCTTTTAAAGGTAACATTTAGTTTGAAAGTGAATGCATTGGTTCAGGAAGTCAATGAAACTTGTGTAGCAAAGGAATTGCATCTCTTATCCCCAACCCCAAATCTAGTTTCAATTATTACTCTGGCTGCTGCATTTTTTCCAATTGCAACTTCCAAATGATTTTTAAAGATAGTCCCACATATTGTGAGGGTTGTTTTCCAAGGGCTGGATACCCCATAACATAGAAGACACAGTAAGTATATACACAGTGTTTTATTGTGGCACACACCTTCATCAATAATAGGCAATTGTTCTGGGTTAGCTCCATCCTTTGAGGCCCTTGCAACTTGATGAGTGACATAAATACAGCTTTAATACTCAGCCCTTAAACAATAAAAAATCTCCAAGTCTGTAAAGTGGCATACAACTTTTGGCTCCCCCCAAAGTTCTTGTGCGGGCTGGAATTAGGTGCTGCTTCATCTTGGTTGCTCCTCTTCTGGTTGCTACCAAACTCCAGCCCAAACTCTAAGTCAGGCTCCAGGTAAGAATCACACCACAATGGGCATCTTGCTGCAGCCTGTGGTTCTGGCAATTAACTGATAGCTCTCTTGCTTGCCTGTAATAATTCCCAGACACCACATAAATTCCCAGACACCACTTCCAATATCCTTGTGTGCTTGTTGTCTTCTCCTTCTTTTCTCCTACACTCTCCTTGTAAGCCAAGTCCCTGTGTGGGGTAAGGCTGCCTATGGACTTTGACACGTTCCTAAAAACTCCAGAATGTGGCTCAATTAGCCAGAGACCTGGAACACCAGCATAGATTGTTGTGAGGACACTGGAAATGAATGGATTTTATTCTCATGGTTTACAGTCCTTTAAGAAAAAGCATGAATTGAGGTGAGCTTTGCTGAGCTGAGCCTTGAGGAAGTAGGGATGGGAAGCATTTCTGCCTGACTGCAGCTGCTTTCCCCAAATGCAGACAGTAACCCCCTCTTCATTCCTTCACAAGCATGTCAAAGTAATCTAGGTGCAATATACAGGAAATAATGCAGTTGTGATGCTGGACAAAAGCATTTCTGGTTGGAGCCATTGCCTGAGAATCCAAAAGCAACTCATGGTCCAGGAACATTTTACTCCTTCCAGTCTAGGCTAGAACAATGGAAGTCAGCTCCTCAGTGCTGTAAGTGATAAATGGGAGGGGACATCACAACTTAGTGTCTTCCTAAGGAGCCCATCAGCATATTCATATCTTCACTGCAGGAGTCCTTTGATAGAGGCAAAAAGTAGAACACATAATTTAATGACAATCCATTCACTCTGGGAGCAATGTTTTATTTGACAACTCATAGATAATGTAATCTAACGAGTTCATTTTAATGTTATACTATTGAAATGTAATATATGTTGACACCCACAGGTAAATATTGGCAATGTAAGATAAATGCCACAATTTTCCAAAAACTGCAATGTATATTAATAAATGATAGTGTTATTGGTGTTTCATTTGTTTCTGTCTTATTTAATGAAAGAACATATAGTGAGGGAAATAACAAGTTAATCTCCATTTGTCAGAATTTAGATATCAGAGTTATGGATTTGCCTAACATGCTGGGCTTTAAGTGACTCAGTTAAGCATGTCATAAAAATGCAGCCACTAAGCCAAATCTAAACAAGCCATGTTATGAGTTAGCACAAGTGAAATGATCACTGTTTGCATTGGGACAGATGATGGATGCTTATTTGGGAAACTCATATAACTGAGACTAGGAGAGATGATATTTATAGCTTTATTGTTTGTAAATATTAATTAATTTCAAGGGAGGTCAGTATCGGACAAGTGGATACTGCAACAGTAGCCAACAAGATCTTCCCCATAAGAGCTTATATATTCCATACTAAGAATCATGTGAGAAAAGAAAGGGAACAATGAATACTGGGGATGAGTTTCATAGGAGAATGCTGAAACTTGTCCAAGAATACATCATTCTACATGTTAAGTCAAAATGCAGTTTGTTCAGTTTTGACATATTATGCTGTATAAACCAGTCATTGCAGGTTCTGCAATGCAGCCATAGTTTTAGCCACTCAGCATGTTGTATGAACTAGCCAACTTTGGTTTATTTAGCAATTCATATTTAAAGAAACCATGAATTATCTGTAAACTCAATCTGTAAACTCTGAACCAAACTCAAGCAAGTAGTCTGGGAAGTGTGGTGGAAAATAAAATATATCCTTGCAATCTTGAGGTCTATCTAATCCTAGTCTAATAAGACTTTGCTCTAAACTCATATGTCAGACTTTGAAATATGGCTTCTTGAAAATTCCACCTATCAATGGTGTTAATGCATCAGTTAAAAATTGACAATCGGAATTTTGCATTTTTAAGAAGTACATGATGTTCTGGGATTTGATCTACTTTGGTGATTTAATTAAAGATTTGATGAATGCACTTCCATTCTTTCTCTCTGTCTCCCTCCCCCTCCCCCTCTCCCTCTCCCTCCCCCCTCTCTCTCCAAGCACATTGTTCCAAATAGCTAAACTAATACTATTTATTATTCCCATAACAATTTGCTTTCATAAGACAAGGCCTATTCTTTTTTTTTTAATAATAATAAAGTCAATACTGTGTATATAAACACAGGAAATTGAGCTTCTGTTCTGTTTATGATTGGTTCTTCATTAAAACATGTTTAAATAAGATGATTGATTAAAAATAGTCAAGAAGAGGCAAAATAAGAACATATTTCTTGCAGATTGAGATTCAACCTGATTAGTAATGGATATGGCCCGGTTAATTCTACATTATTGTTGGTCTGTACTCTATAACCTCATTTATCCAAGTGGCCAGAGGAAACCTCTTATAACATTTGATTAGCCAAAGCTTGTTTACACAGTTACTCACCCTATGATAAGAACAAACCAACCTTTGGATTTATTTTCTGAAGTATAATCAAGGAAGGGCGGATCGGTTTATGCATACATCAGGATGAGGGAAAAGAATAGATTGTCCTCCCCAATCTGACACCCTCTGGACGTGTTAGATTTCAACTCCATAATGTTCAGCCAGCTTGATTGCAGAAAGCTGAAATAGATGGCCTTGTTACAGATTGCTGGCTTAGAGTAATTTTTAAAAATCTTTACTTATGGGGAAATGTTCCTGCAAATAGAAAAACAGCACAGGAGAAAGTAGACAATGTTAGGCTGTGTTAAGCTTTGTCTTGTCTTGTCCTTCATTGTAAAGGAGATCATGTAAAGTCATTAAATAGAATCATTTGCCACATTTGCCACATCCCCTGATTCTGTTGTATTATATTATATCACATAGCCCATAACTTTCAGTCAAAATGACTGGGGATGATAAGTTATAGTTATAGTCCAAAACATCCAGAAGGCTTCAGAGTAGTTTCGATTTGATCCCAAAGGATTCATCTTCCATTTTTTAGGGAGGGAGAGGGAGAGGAAGAATTGATTCAGACAATCAATTCAAAACATGAAAATGTGGATCAGTGAGATGCTGTCTCTAAGAGGTCTCTGGACTGGCATGTTGACCAGGATATCCTACAATCCAGAGGCCAAGGCTGCCTCCACACACAATTTCTTATTGAAATTCATTTTAAAATCATTGTCATTCAACAGGGAAGGAGAATTGTGTTTTATTAAAAACTGTGTGAACTCACATGAAGATCCGTGTAATTCCCACAATATTGGGCCTTCCGCTGCCTATTGTACCTCCTGATCTCTGCTGCTTATTTCTCTAGGAGTTCCTTGTGGGAAGGAAATACGATTTGGATTGCTTGCTTTGGAGTTGCCCAGGCATGTTAGCACTGCCTGTTCTTGACTCCTGTGCGATATTATTTTTAAACAATGGTGGGGACAAGCAGACACATTACAGAAATAGTATCTTTTCTCATTCCATTGTTGAAGCACAAAAGCAACTTTTCACAACACTTCTAGATTGTTGTTGTTTTTATATCCACTAAGTACTCTTTCTACTTAGGGAATGTCTAGTCTGCCAAAGAGAAGCCAGATGGTACAGGAGAGGATCCAACTTGAAGCACAGAAGGAATTGGTTTATGGGAAAATGTGGAATCCCTTCTTGGTCTATTTCATCAACTGCCATGACTAAGAATAAGGACTTATGAACCTTGTAATCCAAACTGAATGGGTTGCATTTCTGTCATATAGACCAATGAAGCTTAATGATTAGATCTTAAATTAAACCTCAATTAATCTCAGTTCAAATCATGACTGCACTATGCCATGTCCTTTTAACTATGCTCCTGTTGCTATTTCCTTAAGTACCCAACCTGTAGGAGTCTAAGGATAAAATGAAGAGAGAGAAAATGTCCTATAGTTTCTGGCTTTGATATAAATCTTTGATATAAATCTTGGCTTATTAATTGCTTGCGTACATCTTAAACAGACTGAGAAAGTCATTTAAGAACTGAAGACCAACATGCAGAGATTACCTCTTTTCCATTTTCGTTCTTTCAAAGTACAAGACACATCTCTTGAACAATATTATTATTGGACACAACAAACACTGGGGCTTCCTTCAGCCAGGAATCAACATTGACTCAAAGACACAAGTCAGCCAAGTAAACGACACCCAAACCATTCCCTAACATGGTGTCTTCTAGATGCAAGTTGCAACTCTTATCACTTCCTCATGTCCTTGGGGAGGATGGGACCTTTGTCCGCCACATCTGCATATATTAGGTGCTCTTATTGAGTTCCAGCCAGAGCTCTGAAACATGGACATAGGAGAATTTTGCATGATCTCTGTAAGAATCTGTATTATATGTTTATATAGAGAACGAAATACACTTTTTTCAAAACACATTTTAGACACTCATAACCCAAGCATCTATGTGAGGCACATCTCTTTAAATCAGAAAAAGAAGAAAAGAAAAAAAAAACCCACAGAAGTAAAGTGACAGAAAAATATTTGAAAAGTCTCCCAGACTTTCGTTGGAAAGAAAAGTGGCGAACCTTGGTCCCGTTATGCAGGTTCTGAAAAGGCGACTCCTCTTTCAGAATCGAATGTTTGTGGCGGGTCTTTTCCTTGTGGCTTTGGACATCATTCAGCAATGCATCGGCCTCTCGCCCACTTCACCACCCCGGGAAAGGGAGAGTTGTCGAAAATACCTGCCGATCAAAACCGGCGGCAGCGACCACATACCGCTTTCCCGACTAATGGGCAAGGCAGAAATAGATCTCCCCCTCCTCCCGTTTCGAGCTGAGCGCTCCGCTGCGTGTTCCGCAATCGACAGAAATGCCGAGAAGGCAATGAAAAGGCGGAGTTGGTTATTGAACAACTCGCGAGCTGGAGCGGCCCCAGGTCCCGCCCAGCCCTCGAAGCTCAACTATAGGCGGGGACAGAGCGAGGAGTCGCGGGCGCACGCGGAGCTGCAGTGCACTATCCGTGGTGCTGAACAGCCGCACTTCCTTTCCCAGCTGTTCTCCCATCACCGCGACCCAGCCGGGCAAGAAAAGGAGGCGATCCTCCCACCCACCCCAGCCGTCATTCACGTTTGGGACTTACAACTGCATGTTACAGGAGGGCTCCGAACTGCTGTGAATAAAAGGACATGGTGTGTGTTGGCTTATGATTAGATTCAAGGGAAACCAGGTTGGGGTTGCGAGGCTTGGCGTGGGTGGCCGGGACTTTGCGAGCAAATGGCAAAATCAGAGCTACTCAAGCAGAGGTTGAAGGAAGAGTCCCAAGAAGGTAACTTCACCTGAATCTAAAGAAAGGTAAAAAAAAAAAAAAAACCCACTGAAGAATATGCTTTGGCAAACTATATCTTATTTGCTTTGTTTGCTTTTTCCCCCCTATATTGTCATCTACATGGAATGAACTAATATGGGGAAGGCTATGCTGGGTGGGCTGCTGGGTGGGGGTGGGGGTGGTATCTGTGTTGATGAATTTGAGAAGCTGGTCCGTTTCGCCTTCTCATCTTAGCCTGCTTTCTGCTATCTTCATGCTAAACTGCATATCCAGTAGTGGTTGAATATGGTAGGACACTGTTTCCCCATTTTAATTCAGATTTACGAGGGACAGGAATAACTTTACTGGGGAGGGGAGAAGTAATATGCAGTCTTGAATTTCCAAAGTTCCAAATTTTTTATTGAACAAATATCAATTGGAAGTGGTTAGAAAGAGAGAAAGTGAGTTTATTCAGTGGAGATCTAAATGAAGTTACATGGGTGTTGTCTCGTTGATTCAGGTTTTCCTCAATCATGAAGCTGATGAATACTCATCTAGTTGAAACATACAGAAAAATGGAAACAGCTGGTTGGATAAAGCTTTACTTAAATTGATTTATCCAACCAGCTTTTTCCATTTTCTGTGTCTATGTCAAGTAAATGTGCTGAGCATTTGCTCTCCTTTATAAATTGTGTTGAATGCAGCTGTCTTTTGTAGCTTTCCAAGTGTATTCAATACATGAGAATGCTACCTGCATAGAGTTTAAAGGACTCAGAAAAGAAGAGCGATGCTGGTGATGCATAACGGAAGGAGATTCATTCCAAAGTCTGAGGCAAGCATGAAAAGGAAATGATGGGAGGTGAAATGAACATTTGGCATCCTTTAGGAGGAGGACTATCCTAGATTCCTTTGGCCCTCTATATCATACATCAGCAACACTAATTTAGACTGTTTTTTTTTCCTCTCTCAACTAGACCTGGACATCTTTGATTGGGATAAAGGCTAGACTACAAAGAACATGACCAAGTGCAATTATCTGAGATGGAAGAGAAAAGCTATTCTTTACAAGGCACAGCCAATGCTTGGAAGTGGGCTTCAGGGGCAACAGAATTTCCGAAATAGTTATATGAAAATTGATATGCCTAGGCTGATGTGGGAGAGTTCAATGGAAATCAAGTTAATGGAAGTCTGCATTGACATAAGCATGACAAGCCAATACCCATGACTCAGAAGGGAAACACTTCAACATAAGGATCTTTTTTTCTTCTATTGGATGCTTTAACTGGATAATATCTCCATGCCAGTCCCCCCAATGAGGTGTTGGTCATTTTCCATCACCTCTGTGGTGCTGAAATTTGGATGATGTCTATCAGGAGACTTAAAGGCTGCTGCTGCATGTCACATTTCAACGAGGACAATGGTAGGTTTGTCCTTTTAGCAGTACTCATTGTGGCATACCTGACTGTTGGAGCTACCATCTTCTCAGCCATTGAGAGCCCATCTGAAGCAGAAGCACAGCATCGTTGGGACTGGACCCTTCACAACTTTAGCCAGATCTTCAACATTAGTCTCCCTGAGCTGAAGGCCTTCTTAAGAAGCTATGAGGCAGCCATGGCTGCAGGTATTAGAGTAGATGCCCTTCGACCAAGATGGGACTTCACAGGAGCTTTCTATTTTGTGGGCACAGTGGTTTCAACAATAGGTAAGTCTTTCTTCCTTCCTTCCTTTTTTCCTTCCTTCCTTCCTTCCTTCCTTCCTTCCTTCCTTCCTTTCTTCCTTCTCTTTCAAATACCAAAGGTAGCCTTTCACAATTTGATATTCTCCAGAAAGTGTGAGAAAGTGTTGGGCTAAAATCAGGGAGACCAAGTTTCAAGTTCACCCTTGGTCATGGAAACTCATTGGCTAAATTTAGGCCAGTCACCTACTCCCAATCCCAGGGCTGTTGAAGAAAGTGGAGGAGTAAATACTATGTATGCTGCCTTCAACTCCTTTAGCACAGGGCAGGTTATAAATCCAGCAAATAAATGAAAGTATTGACCATGCTGACTAAGAAATTTATTGACTACATATCTGGACATACCCTTTTATTTAAAACTGACCATTTCACATTTTATTTTAGAATAATAATTGTGTAGCTGAAGAGTCATAACCCACTAAACAACCATTGTTCTCTACCATTTCTCTCCCATCCATTTTTAAAGGAAAGATTGAAAGAATTTATTTCCCAGTTACATTTAAAAATACAAATCTATAAGTATTCATAATTAAATGTCACCATTTCAAGGGCTTTACCTCAAAGTCAATGGAAATGAATCACAGTAAAACAAGATCTTCATATACAATATATTTAGAAGTAAACAAAAAGTTTTCCTAAACTAGTTTTCTCCAAATGCATTAACTCATCAGGATCAACATCATTGGCTAGAAATGCAAGAAATCACTCCTCAACTTTAGGTTAGGAATCAGTGACAAAAATATAATTTGAATTTTGCTAAAAAGAGAAATGCTTATTATGCTTTAAAGCTAAAGTGTCAAATTCATGTTTTTGTATTCAAAATCACACAGAAATAGCTATCCTATATTATTAAGTATACCAATGCAATAGTTTTCCTGAAAAGGGCATTTTCAGATATAAGGTTAAAATCAGTATGCAAATCAGCCTTTAAACCAAATAAAACTTTTTAAAATTAATGCACAAATATATCCTTTTCTTTATTACATCCTATGCCAATTAACCTCTCACTAGCATTGTATGAGAGCTGAAATGCACTTTCTGATGACATGCAAAAATGGTGTGTAAGAAAACAAAAGGAAGGGTCTACATAGGAAGGAGGAAAGGATTTTTTTTTTTTTTGGCTCTCAGAAAGATTAAGTTAATATATTAGTGACATTTATTGGTGGCTTTAATTATTTTTCCACAAAGAAACAAGATTTGAGTAACACACTACGTGCATGTTCCTTTCAAAACTCCAAACAAACATAAACAGCTGGTATACTTTAATGAAGTAGAATGGGTGAAGTTCAGAAGTGATGTTTCTTTTTCTAGAAAGCTTTCTTAAGTTGCTATAGCAACTGAAGTTTGGAAAGTGATCTGAAAGTCAGGATGCCTTCATAAACAGGGGTTGGTCTCGCCATCATGGGCAGTTAATTGTGTTTTATATCTGAAGCAAAAGTAGAGTGAATGGGATAAAATGTCCAGTTCCTGTTTCCTGCATCCCTGATTTTGTGTCTGTTACCAATCTGATATTGCTAAAATAGTTCTGTATTTTCTGATGACACATTTAAAATCAGGCTGAACTAGATGGCAAGTATAGATTCTATCGAAATTCCTTCAGAATGAAATTTTATTCAGTACCAATAAAGTATTACAGAGTTTTGATTTTCTTCTTTTTCCCCATCACCACTTCCCATCTAGTGATAGGGAGTGTGACATTTAACCTTGCATTACATCAAAGGGAAATAGAATTAAATATCTAGATTTAAAAGCAAGAACTGAATGTCACATGTCATAAAATGAGATATGCATTACATTTTGAAGATTGCTAGGTTCTGTACATTTTACTATCTTAGGAAAGTAGTGATAGTAAGAATTCTAAGAATTAATGTCCATAAACCTTGCCAAAAATTTTGCAGAAAAAATTTACATATTACTTTGTCCATCTACAGGCTTCTGCAGGTGCCCTGAAATTTGATTGATTGATTAAATTAGTGTCAACTTTTAATGAACTTTTTTTTTTCTCCAAGACAACCTTTCCCCAATCTGTCCTTCAGGTCTTCCAACACTGCTGTAATTGAGGCCATTCACTTTGCTGCTTGTCATTCTCTTCTCTTTCCTTCTACCTTTCCAAGCTTTGCCCTGAGAGATAGGTGATGCTAAAAGTGTTGCATAAATGATACTTTGCTGGGTGGGGCCTTCTACCTTCTAGACAGAAATGGCCAACTTTGTGTTATATTACCAATCACGTTGTGATGTACTAGTAGATTCAAATTTACTTTCTGTCTATCCCTGTCCTAGCTACCTACTTACTGTATCTGCAAAGAAAATACTAGCAGATATGGCTGACTTTGTCACATACAGCTAATAATCTATTAAACAATGTTCTTTATTTTTTTTCATAAAGAATACCACTTTATGAACTAGCATTATTGGTCACAATCTACTAGACATTCTCCCATGTCTAGCTCCCATAATTGTAAAAAAAAAAATTTTTATGTCAATACATTCTCCTTCACAAATAAAATAATAAGACAGTGCTATTCTTTGAAATGTAGAGATTGGGAAATATTAGTGTTGAAAGTTGTTTTCCCTGTCAACACTTCCCCTGGCCACACTTCTTTTAACTGTAGCTTCTACTTTGTAGTACATATAGAGGAGGATATTGCATTAAATCCACCTAAATATATAAATATTATGCTTACAGCATTAAAGGCATCTAAAGTCACCTCTGGTAAGATGGGCAGCATAAAAGTTTAATAAATAAATTAAATCGTAACAACAATTACTTCAGGGTGACGTTAGAATGTGTTGATCAACAGGAGTTTAGCAACTGATTGTTAGCTGTGGCCTCTATCTTTACAAGAAGAGATTATTTTCTAAAACCTCTCACTGTATTCCCCACTATATTTCAGGGCATCTTCAAGGAGGATAAAAAAATGTCAAGATGGTTGGCACAACTGCACACTCAAAG